CCCCCCTCCACCTGCTTCCTGGTCCTTGGCGGGAGATGGGAGGCAGGCAAGGTGGTCCCACCATGGAGGAGCAATGACTGTGCACCCTGCTGTTTGGAAGGAGGAAGTGGTGCTGGAATTCCCATGCTGGGCCCTCCCTGTTGCATTTGAAGGTCCTGCCTTATAGCTGCTGGATAGGAGAAGGGACTCTGCCCCATATTGGCCCCCCAAGCATGTGGGCTGCTGAGGGGGAGGGTGCTCCTATCAATCCTCCACCCTGCTGACTTTTGAATCCTGCCCCCATGAATCACCTTTGCATCTGCTCAGAGCCCCAGGGTGAAACTAACCTGCCCCTGGAGAGTTTTACCTCTGTCCCCTGCGGGCATCTGATCATCTGCTCTGAAATTGGCCAGGGGCTTGTTAGTGGCCAAGCTCTGAGCAGCTGCTGAGGCACAGGAGCCGCCTGCCCACAGACTCAGGCAGACGCCTCACGTCTGGGAGGTTGTCTTCACAGCCCTAAGGGTTAGCGACTCAGTTCTTTTTCTCAGTGGAAGCTGGCGTGCTCAAATTTGACAGAGTGGGTCCCTCCCCTCCCCCAGGGCTGGCTTCCCTTGTAGTTGCAGGATGTTCCTCTGTCTCATATCTATGTCCCCTCTCCCGCCCAGCCACAGCTTCGTCATGGTCAAAGGGGCTGCCCTGCTCCTGCCGGAAGAGGAAAAGCTGGAGACGGTGCAAGAAGCCCCGCCCTCTCCGGACCAAATGCAAAGCCAGCAGGAGCAGCACCTGCAGCTGATGATGGGGCTGCTGCGGCAAGAGGATGCCATCCGCCTGGTGAGACAGGGAATGGCTGGCCCACAATGGCTCCCAGGAGAGAACAGACCGGGGGCGGAAACAATGGGACAGGGGGCGGAGATGAGTGACGCGGACAGTAGCCACATCAGATCATCAAACCACTGGGTTCATCCAGCTCAGGATCAACCCTTCCCTTCACCTCCCTCCCTGCCAGCCTGCCCCATATCAGCCCGATGGGCCCATCCAGTCCATCATTTCCCCACTGTGCCCCAGATCAGCCCCATGGGTCCATCCAGTTCCGCATCTCCCCCCCTACCCCAGATCAGCTCCATGGGTCTATCCAGTCCAGCATCTCCCCACTGTGCCCCAGATCAGCCCCATGGGTCCATCTAGTCCAGCATCTTCCCGCCATCACCCCCTGCCCCAGATTAGCCCAATAGGCCGATCCAGCCCCCCAGGCTCCAGTGCTGCAGGAGCAGCTATCTCAGTGTACCCACAATGCATTGCTCCCACCCCACCTTGTCCTGGCGCCTCCATTCAGGGGGCCTAGGTTCCCAGCCCGTGCCCTGGGCGGGGTGGGTGAGAACAGCTTGGAGCAGCCTAGTGGGTTTGATCTTGGTGCTCAAGGGGGAAGCAACAACAGGATATATACTGTAGGTGGGGAAGGGAAGGGGCAGACTGCGCCCCCCATGCCTGTGTCTCCCTGCACTCCTACTGCCCCTCAACTGAGCCCTGTTACTCACTGCCCCGCCCCCTCCCTTCTCTCCACTCCCAGCTGCAGCTGCCCCTCCCCATCCTGATTGCACGAGCCCAGTTCCTGCAGCGCCCCCTCCCCCCATCCCACTCCCCACAGCCCTGCGTGCACAGACTCCCTCCCGGGAAGGCTGGCTCAGGGTTGCAGTCCATCCATTGCATGAGCATTATTCATTGTTTGCAATCCCAGGCCTGGTCCCTCCTTCCCCCCTCTTCCCCGTCCCTGGCTCTGGCCCAGCCTGATTGGAGAATTGTTAACCACTCCAGCGCGTGGGCTGCTCCACCCACCGGCAGGGTACAGGATGTCATGCCAGGTTGGAGAGGGTGGGGCTGGGCAGTGCAGGCTCTTTCCCCTCCCTGGTGTCACAGTGCCCCTTGCTGGGGAGGGCAGGACTAGTCCGTGCAGACTCCTCCCCCTCTCTGGTGTCACAGCGCCCTCTGCTGGGGAGGGGCAGGTGGGGTGCTGTCTGCGTGCAGCATGGAGGTTGTTGGGGGAGGGGATCCCTGCCTGTGGAATCTCATTTCTGAGCAGCCAGTTCCCCATTTATGGCTGCAGGGCTCTTGCTCTCGCCTCCTGGGCTGACAGCCAGAGCCAGCTGCACAGTCCAGCCCAGGGGACTCTGCAGGGAGCTTCCCAGGGTTGCTCAGAGCTTCCCTTGCTTGCAAGGTTGAGTCATGCTGCCTATGCCCCCAGGGGCCCCCCAGCCCTGAGAGCTGTGTGTGGATCACTGACCCCCCCAGAGCAGAACAGAGACCCTGGGGTTCATCTCTTAACATCTCCCTTACAGAGCCCTGACACTGAGCTGGGAAACCACTGCCCAACCCCACCCTCTCCAGCAGGGTATGCTGGGAAATTGGGGAGGAGCCTACACTGCCCAGCCCTGCCCTCCCAGCAGGGGGTGCTGGGAAATTGGGGAGTGGGAGGAGCCTGCACTGTCCACGCTACCCTCCCCAGTGAGGGTGCTGGGAAATTGGGAAGGGGGAGGCACCTTCACTGCCCAGCCCTGCCCTCCCCAGCAGGGGGCGCTGGGACACCAAGGAGGGAGCGGAGCCTACACTGCCTAGCCCCGCCTTCCCCAGCAGAGGGCACTGTGACACAGAGGCAGGGGCATACTGGGGCACTGGGAGTTCACATGGAGAGGAAGGTCTCAGTCTGCCTCTGGCTTTGTCTTCAGGCCGTGCGGCTGGAGTCAACCCGGCCCCACCGGATCCGGTACCTGCTGCTCGTGTCGACAGAGGAGCTGGAGGGCAAGAACGAGACGGTCCTTCTGGGCGTGGACTTTCCTGAAGAGGGGTGAGGAGATGGGGGGGGGCACAGTGAGGAGCGGGGAGGAATGGGGGATGCAAGGGGTGTGTTGGCGAGTGAGGCATGGGGAGGGGGAGCACAGAGGAGAGCAGGAATTAGGGCGGGAGGAGCAGGACTGAGGAGTGGGGGGGTTCATGCCCCACAACCTGTGGGAGGAGCTGCCTGAACCCTGAGCTCTCAGCACCAGAGTGGCCAAATTCTTTGCTCTGCCCTTGGGCTGCCCCCCAGCACCAGAGCAGAACCCTGGACAGGAGCAGGGAGCTGGAGTCTGTGGGGTCCTTGTTCCAAGTCTGTAACCTCCCCCACACCCCAGTGGGGACCCCTACACTCCCTCCCCCATGCTGTGTGCTCTGACCCCTCTCTCTGCCCCTAGGTCGGCCAGATGCACCCTGGGGATGGTGCTGCCCCTCTGGAGCGACACCCAGGTCTTCCTCGATGGGGATGGGTAAGAGACCTCAATTGTCTGTGCTACCCCCCAAGGGGAGATCTCCTGTGCGGGGATGGGGGGGAAGAGAGGGAAATTCTGCCTTATGTCCAATCAGGACTGTGTTTCGCCACACGCACTGCCCCCAGCAAGAGCCTGTCCTGCCCTCTGCTGGGCGGAGATGGTAGTACAGGCTCCAGACTTATTGCCTGAACTGCTGCCTGGCACACAGCTCCCCTCCTCTCTCCGAACAGGGTCGTGGGGCTCTGAGAGCCATGCCAGCTCCCACAGCAGCACCACCAGCCATGGCCCACGCAAGGTGCTCAGGGTCCCGTGCGCTCTGCAGGGGCAGCTGCATCTTAACCAGCCATCACCAGCCTAGTCAGCAGTGAGAAATTTTACCAAAATGTTTCCTAATGTAGGAAACTTTAATGGGCCATCCTTAGGTTTCAGAGTCAACATCACAAATTGATACACATTTGTACCTCTCCCAGCTGTTGCTCTGAGCTGCCTGCATACTCAGACAGATACCACTGTGGTGATCTAAGGAATAACAACAATACTTGGCTTCTATCTAGGGTTTTTCATCAGTAAATCTCAAAGCACTAGACAAAGAAAGTCAGGATCATTAGCACCATTTTATAGATGAGAAAACTGAGGCACAGAGCGGGGAAGTGACTTGCCCAAGATCACCCAGCAGGCCAGTAGCCAAGCCGGAAGTAGAACCCAGGTTTTCTGAGTCCTTGGCCAGTGCTCTACCCACTAGCCTCACAGACCTCCTTAAACAGGAGGCATTTATTAAAGGAAACAGCTACAGCCTTCTGTCTTTCAGCTTGAGTCCCAGCTTTGAATCCTTTGTTTACCAGGGTCCTTGCACAATTTGGAGCTCTTTAATGCACATTGTGACCTCTGGTGGTTGTATGAAGTACTGCAAGGCCCAGATGTCACTTTTTCTAATGGAAGCTGAGAGTCTGTGTGGGGAGGGGCTTCTCAAATGGGCAGGGCTTGGTATTCTCCCAACCTCCACCCACAAACCAACACACTCTCCTCCCTCTGCAAATGGCTCATGTGGATCAGGGATGCTGGCGCTGCTGTATGGAGCAGAGAGAGCCCAGCTTGACTCTCAGATCCCAGACACTGCAACCCGCCCCACCTCTGCTCATGCATGTGATCTGACTTGCAGGGAGCTGCTGGGTTGGTACTAGGGTGACCAGATGTCCCGATTTTATAGGGACAGTCCCGATTTTTGGGTCTTTTTCTTTCTATTACCCCCCATCCCAATTTTTCACATTTGCTGTCTGGTCACCCTAGCTGGCACTGCGCATTCACTGAGCCCCTCAATCCAACCCTGTGTGTTAAGGGTGAATGTCCTCCTTCTCTCCTGCATCCAGCCCCCTCTCCCTGCCCAACCCCCCTGTGAAATCCCTGCCTTCCTCTCTCTGTCTCTAGGGGCTTCAGTGTGACGTCCTGGGGGCAGACACGCATCTTCAAACCCATCTCTGTGCAGACCATGTGGTGAGTGACCCCCATACTGCCTGTCAAGTGCAGCTGGTGGGAGCTGTGGGATTATGCGGGGGATGGACTATCACTGTGGCTGGAACCCACTAGAACAAGGGTTTAGGGACAGAGTTGGAGAGATGGGATTTGGGCTGGACTGTGAGCTTTCCATTTGTTCCCCCCCATCAGACTTGGAAAGCAGGGGATATCTGTGGGGATAGCCCCAGGGAGGAGGTGTCATGGCTGCAGAAAGTAGAGGGATACCTCTGGGGTTTCCTTTGAGGGAGTTATCATGGCCGCTGGGGTGGAGATATGGTGGCCACGGGAGGAGGAAGGATATCTGAGGGGATTGCCCTGGAGTGGAGGTATGGTGGCCAAGTGAGTGGAGGGACATCTGAGGGGATTGCCCTGGGGTGGAGGTATGGTGGCCATGGGAGGCAGTGGGACAGCTGTGGGGATCTTACACCCCCTCCCCCCCACCCGTGTATCCCTGCGCCAAAGCCCTGCAGTCAATGGAATAGGGTGTCAAGGCTGATTCCCCACTCTGGCACTTCGAGTGCAGAAAGTGGGGGCCCGCAAGGATTCTAAAAATTAATACTTGCCACTCCAGGCTGGTATTAAACTCCCAAACAGTTAAACAGTTTCGCTCTGACCTTGGATGGGTAGATGCTGCCACCACCCAACTGCAAAAAACCCCTTGGGACCCAGGAAGGCTCATTTGGGAATTCCTTCCTGTGGGATACCCTCAAGCCCTTTAACACACACTCACGGAGCACCCACGGAGTCAGCGCCTATGGGTTGAGGTATGATTTGATGCTTTTTCATACCTGGTATTAAAGCTGCGTACAGCATTGCTGCTCTGTGTCTCCACTCTTTCCCAGAGAACCACATAGGGTGACCAGATGTCCTGATTTTATAGGGACAGTCCCAATTGTGGGTCTTTTTCTTATATAGGCTCCTATTACCCCCCACCCCCCGTCCTGATTTTTCAAACTTGCTGTCTGGTCACCCTAGAACCAGAACAGACACAAAGGGAAGTTTTTTCTCCATTTTAAAAAGTTCTAGCCCTCCCATTGGCTCTTTTGGTCAGGTGCCCACTCCTTTCCTTTTATCTGTGGGCTTGTTAACCCTTTACAGGTAAAGCAAGTAGAGAATAACTACTAACAGGGATTTTGTAGCTAACTGGTTGGCTGGGTGTCCACAAAAGGGAGCTTCCCCCTGCTCTTTTATCACACAGGGACTGTTATAGTAAAGTAGTTCTAGTGCAGATGCCCTGTTCCCAGGCACTAGCCAAGCAGCAGGGGAGCAGGTGGGGTCCCATATGGGGAGACAGCCCCCCTCCCCCCGCCAGTCCCTGTGGGCAGGGGTCAGTGCCTCGCTCTTGTTGTGTCTCCAATCTGACATCCATCTGCCTGTCTGCTCCCCTCCCCCAGGTCAGTGCTGCAGGTACTGCACAAGGCGTGCAATGAAGCCGTCCAAAACAACCACTTCCCTGGGGGCAGCGCGCTGGGCTGGGCTGAGTGGTACCAGCGCACCATAGCCTCAGAGCAGAGCTGCATCAACGAGTGGCTGGCCATGTCCGACCTGGAGTCCGTGCGGCCCGACTCCCCTGCCCTCTTCTCTGACCGGTCAGTACCAGGCTGGGAGCGCCATGGGCGGGGATGGGGAGGATTGGCTCAGGGTGGGGGATTGGGGGGCTCCCCCACCAGCTTCATTCAGCGAGCCACACATGTACCCGTCCCCCTGGGGCATCCCCCACCTCAGCAGCCAGTGAGGATCTGACAGGGCAGGGCAGGGCTCCACGTAAGAGCCTCGAATGCTGGATACCGACTGGCTGGAAGAGAACTCCCACCCCCTTGCTGGAGCACCAGATTTGAATCCTCCCTGGAACCTGCAAATTGGTTGGATCTAAGCCAAAGTGGGGCAGGGTCTGGGGGCAGAATGTGGGAGCCCTGTGGGCTTTGACACCCCACCTTTTCCTGTGCCCCAGGCCAACGGAACGTGAGCTTATGGAGCGGAAGATCCGGGCCAAACTGCGTGAGCTGATGGCCACGGCTGATCTGGAGAGCATCACCTCCAAGGAGGTGGGGTGCATGGGGAGGAGGGAGAGGCAGAGGAGGCGGGTCAGGGTGGAAGATGGGGATGGGCATGCATTTGTGGGTAAAGGCGGGCCTGGGAAGCGATTGGCTGGGAAGACGGGAGGGGAAAAAGGGGCAGGATGTATGGGTTAGGGGGAAGTGGGAGTAACAGCCAACCTCACCTCCCCCCCCCCCCCCGGGGCCCAGAGTGGGATCTTCCCTCTGATGGTCTGTTCCCCTTGCAGATCCGCACAGAGCTGGAGCGCCGCACTAGCTGCAGCCTGAAGGAGTACAAGGAGTTCATT